CATATAAAAAAATCGAAATATATATGTCTAAATTAATATTAAACTTCCCACCGGTATAATTTAAAATCTAGTAACGTACATTTTCACACATTACAAAATAATAAATTAATATATATTTTATTAAATATTAAAATCATGAAATTTAATAAATTTTTATATAGTATATCTACGCATTAGTTAAATATTAAATTGTCGTATGTCATAATTTAATTTAATATTACCTAACTACAGGCAAGTAAAAAAGTGATAACTTTTGTCGATTATTTGGCCCACTAGTTGGTACAGTGGTACCCGCCTTTACCTGGATAGGGTTAATCGGGTCGCCTATTCCGGCCCGGCCCGAACCGACACCATATTCCCGGCCATCAATTTCGCTGCTATTACCCATGCAAATCAGCTCGTTCTTCTTCGTATAGCCACTCGCCTTTAGAAATTTCACAAATAACCAGAAATAGAATCAGAAAATTAACCAGAAATAACCAGAATTAAATTTTTCCATACTTACACTCTTTACTATTTTCTCCTCCTTTTCTTCCTCTACTTCTTCTTCACCATCATCGTCGTCCTCGAGCATGCGCTCGGCCATCTCCCGAGTCAACTCGGCGATGAAATCGTCGTCCTCGCTCTCAAAATCGGAGTACAGAGGCGTGCTGAAGCCGGACGACGACGAGTCGCGGGGCGAGGACAGCTGGCTCGACAAGCTCGAAATTGAACTCGGCACCTCCGGATTCGAAATCGCGCCGCTCTCCGCCTCCTTCTCCGCCGGCCGGCGCTTGAACAAATCGGCGTAGAGCAGAGGCTTTCTCCCCCGATTGCCGTCGAAAGCCATCGCCGTTTTTCTTCAATGTGCGGAACAAAATCTGTTTATGGAAATAATTAGGGAATTGATTTTAGTTTATTTTGGAGTGATTTTTTGAGATTGTGAGAGGAATATCTGTAATTTTGTCTGTTTGTGTGTATTTGTACTGTGGGGAGAGTGAGTGAGGGTAGTGGGCGGGTGGTTGAAGCCTTGAAGGCTTGACAATTTTAAAGGAGACGTAAAAGGTAAGGGAAAAGCACAAATGATTTTAATATTTAAAATAATACAATTTGAGAAGAATAATTCTCCTCGTACAGAAAGTTGCAAACATTGGGTTTATGGTGAGGTGTGAGGTGACACATCATTTTATTTTATTGAAAAATAATCTTTTTCCAATATGCAAAGGAAATAAAAAATTACTTTCCAAAATATGCTCGTTTTATACTTTGTCTTATGAACTTTTTTTCTCTACATATTACCTTTCAAAGTACACGAAACTCACACTTTGACTTCTCGATGGAAAATCCTAATATGACACAAAGGTTTTTAAGATAAAATTTGAATCAATCTTTTTCCTTGACATATTATCTCACAAAGTACACGAAACTGACAATTTGATTTCACTATGGAAAACTTAATATGACACTAAAAAAAATATTTTAACATAAAATTTGAATCAATCTTTCAAATTTGATTTAAAGTTTTAGAAGCTCATGTTGAGACGAACAAAATGAGATATATTTTAAAAAGTTTTTCAGATAAGTTTTGAATCAATCTTTAAAATTGATTTAGAGCTTTTGAAGCCTAAACGAACAAAATGAGGTATGATTTATCTATTTTTGAAAATTATAATACATCGGCAATCAATAGACGAAAAAGGTTGGCGCACGTGTGTATAGAAACAAAAACTTCCAACTTTTTTGTTAATCATTGAGGGTGTCATTAGTCGATTGGAACTGTCATTAGAAGGCTTGCATGACTAGTTTTATAAAGAGTATATCTTATAAAAATCAAACAGTCGAATTTTGGGTAATAGCCTACAAAAAATTAGATATTTATCAATTTATTTGACTAATCAGAATTCGACTGTTGGATCTTTATTATATTTATTTAGTTAGAAAACTCGACTTGTGGTCGTGCATTTGGCTACGGGTGTGTGGTGGACTAGGCTGCAGGCGTGCGCATGGGTTGCGCCCAATGCTGGGCCGTGGGTCCATCTGACACTCACCCGATCGACCAGTCACAAATTTTCTGGTGAGTTTTTCGGCCAATTTTCCAACTGTTTTTCGATGAGTTTCCTGGCACATTTCCGGCAACGTCAAACATAATTGGAGCGCTTTTTCCTACAAAATGAAATGTAAAAGTAGACAAAAAATACGCAAAATACACATATAATATGAAAACACATAAACGAGTAAAATCAACTTAATAAAACAAGAATTCTAAAACAAACTCAAATAAACTTAAAAAAAAAATAAAAAAATAGAACAACACATAAGTACAAACAAAAACATACACAACATTATCATTATCTTTATAAATATGTACCATATAAATATAGGTAAATACTTTTTATTTCAAACATTAAATATATTTAAAAAGGCAAACCAATAATAAATTGGATCGTTGATATGGGATGACTGTAATACCATCCAATTACCCGAACCAACCCGTGTTTATTCTGGCTCAATCAAATCCCTGGTCAACCCGTCAAATCGATTCAAAGTGTATAATATTGATTAATGTAATTGAATGAAAATACAAATCCAAGCTTTCCAAACCTATCAAATACAAGCCATTTTTGTAACATATTGTCTATTACTGAATTTGTTTTTCTAATTTTTCGTTCGATTGGTTGAAAAAAAAAAATTCAGATCCCATTTGTGTTGGTTTGTTCAATTTTTCTACATAATTCCCTTTTAACCATACCAAAATTTCATGAGAGGAGGAATTTTATATGTCTAAAAGCGGCACATTGTAGCAATAAGTTTTTATTTTTAGCTTAGGCAAATTACTATTTGTTAAATTGCACAGTACCGCTTGAATATTAATTTTTGTGTACACGTGTTTACTAACAAATGGTTCCATCTTTTTGTTGAACTATAGAGTATAAACTAAGTACTGTTTGATTATTATTTTTTAGTATATTATATTCTATAAGGAAGATAACGATTATCCCGACTGGACATACTTTTTAATGAAAATATATGCTTATATTGAAAAAATATTGTACTTTTATTTATATTTCTAAAACAATCCAATTATTTTAATCATCTCTTATTTTTAATTCTAATCTAACTCAAATTTAACTTAATCTCACTATCCTTAATATTATCAGTATAATTAAATAATATCACTAAATCATTCTTACACATTATATCAACTTTAACTACACGTAATTTTAACTAACATCACTTCAAATTATCTCTCTCTTACTTTTACATCAAATAAATTTTTTTATTTTAAATATTATTTAATATAAACTCAAAATTTCACTAACACTAATCATACCATTTTTTTTTTTCAAAATTAATCATATAAGCCAAAAATCCAAACACAATCAAAACATCTCATCAAAATATCTAAGTATACATGAATTTTCAAAAGGTGTGACATTACATCTTATCACTAAAACTTTTGTATATTTTAAAATAGTGTCTATATAACTTGTTTCAAAAAGTTTGACATTCCACTTATAAAACAAGCTACCATTCGATGTTTAAAACCTTTAAGGAATTTATTTTGTCAAAAAGTGAAAAGAAAATATTGTTTTACGATTCTAATTACACCTTTTCAGATTTTTATAAGATCTTTTAAATTTTCATTTTCAGAAATTTAATTTCTTAGGATCTCATTATATTTAATTTTTAATTATAATTATCTTCGCTTATAACTGCAGAAAGCTGTATTCGATTGAAATCGTACGATTTTCTTATTTTTAATAATTTTAAATATATTTTTACATTATAATTTGACTTTACGGGTCTGATTTTATATCAAACTATTTGGCATAATTGTTGTACTTCTTTGATTAATTCACATTATAAGGGTATTTTACTATTTTTTCGGATTTGTTGTTGGTTTTTGGTGGTTGGACCATAAGTCTATGTGGTCAATCTATACTTAAGAGATTCTATTTACTATATTTACTATCCAGAAAAGTCAACTGCATTAAATGTCATTACTATTTTGGTATTATAATATTTTATTTATTTAATTGTTTTATTTATTTGTTTTATTTTAAAAAGGTAAGTATAATAAAAAGATTTTAATAATAAAAAAATTAAATACCAAATAAAAATATACACTTTGACTTATTTGATTATATTTGGTATTTGATTATACCAAATATATTCCTATTTAGTATATACATTAAATACTTACTAAAGTATTTGTTTGTTTTATTTGTCAAAGTTAAGTATAGATTTGTTTATATTATCAAATCATAAAAAAAAATATTAAATCCATATTGTAAAAAAAAAATCATATAATTTTATAACAATTCTACTACACTATTTAACAATATTTTTTTTTTATTATATAATAAAATAATAATTAAATATTATATGGTGAACAACAATAAGTAAAACTGTTACTTTCTCTTATATCAAGGGATAAATTTATATGCTAAAATTAAATTTTTATTAGTATAAATGTTTTAGTGAGATAATATATTAATTATTTTACAAGCTAGCCCTAACATGCTCATATTTAATGTCTTAAAAGATGTAGAAAAAAAAACTTAGAATAACTCTATTGTTTTTTAGACTTAAACGTTGATTAAAAGAGGTAAAAATTTCTAATTTTTTAGACTTAAACGTTGATTAACACCATAGATTGAGAGTTTATATTTAGTAAAATTCCAAATTGTAATAAAAAAATTAATTTTTGCTATATTTTAGAATATCTTTAAATTCATTATATTAAAAAAAAAAAAAACTATAATGAAAAAAGCAAGTCAGCTATATATCGATTTGTTGTACTCCTCAAATTACATTCACAATTTGGCTACAAGGAAAGAAAACTCATTGATTAAAATATTATTTTGTCAGTAGTCTTAATGTACAAGAGACTTTAAGACTCCACTTGAATATTATACAACTTTTATTGAACATTGTATAATTTTCTTGCGTATTATAAACTTTTATTGAATATTGCATCTTATAATATAATATTCTCTAAATAAATATATTTCGTGCTTTGCACGGGTCACGTACTATATATATTCCGTACATCTTTCTTTATTCATGTATATAATTATAAGTCTGGATAAAGAGCCTTAAAAATGTACATCTCGTGCATCGCACGGGCTCTGTACTAGTTTTATATCAAACTATTTGGCATAATTGTTGTACTTCTTTGATTAATTCACATTATAAGGGTATTTTACTATTTTTTCGGATTTGTTGTTGGTTTTTGGTGGTTGGACCATAAGTCTATGTGGTCAATCAAAATTCAAAAGCCTATAAACCACAACTGTTGAAAAACTTGGAAATTAGAATTAACATGGAGATTTTTTTCATCTTTAGTATATTCCAATTTCTCCAGACGTGGGTAAAATGTTCGATTAAGGGTTGACCAACAATGTATACTATCTTATTGAAGTCATGACAGTTGTTAGCACGAAATAGGATTATAAAATATAACTATAGAGATAAATGATTAGGATTATTTTACTTTGTACATAATAATTTGTATGTCAAGGTGTACATACTTTTTTCAAAATGGATAGTTTTATTTCTACATAATAATTTGTATCTAAAGTGTACATACCCTCGTATGAGCAAAATAATAGAATATGAGCAAATTATTTTGGAAAGGATATGCTAGAAATATTATTTTAGAAAGGAATTACAGAGGGAATGTATTAGAAAGGAATTATTTTAGAAAGGACTAGTGTGTACCCCGTGCGATGCACGGAAACAATATTAAATTAACAATATTATAAATAGACCTCGAGTTTGAGTCAATGACAGAAGTGAAAACTATTATTGATCGTATTTAAAAAGAGGAAGAAAAAAAATAATTATAAATAAAAGAGGAGGATAAACAATACTTAATAATTATAAATTAAAGATTCGGGGTCAAACAATGTAAAATGATTTTGTATAAGAGAATATAAAAAAATTTGATTACACACCATTTCAAAATTATCATTATACATTTTTGTATGGTTAGCTTAGAATAATTGTAAAAATATTAGTAATTAGACCGATGAAAATTAGCTTCTTAAAGC